TTTGTTGCTATTTTGGTTAAATTATGGTTTCCCTACTGATTTTCACGTCGAGAGGGACTTTGTAAATTTTCGCGAAGTCATGGGGGACTTCGTTTCCTAAAACCTCCAAACCAACGCGTGCCGGGCCCTGACTGTGACACCCGCCGGGGCCCGAAGTGTATATGTGCCAAGTTTGGTCCGGATCGGTTAAGAAATGGAATTTTCTATTCGGAACATACGGCGGAGCCGGGTAAGCCAGCTAGTAAACGATATAACAGTCTTTCGATCACAACCTTCAGCTCACAATTCTAATGTCTGATCTGTTAGCAAATGGGAAAGCAAGGAGATGAGGGATGCGCTGGTGCTTCTATTGTCCGAAGTATGGAAACATATCCAAAGCTACTGCATGACGAACGCGCAGGATATTAGTTGCGGGCGAGAACGCGACGCGTGCGCATCTCATAGTACTTATAGTCTGCCGCATGACGAAGGCGCAACACCTTTGGGCGCGAACGTGGCTTTATTAGCCACATAGCGCAGAAGGCACAGGATCTACAACGGTAAGGATACGCGCGCGCGGCGTTCGCGCCCGCTCAACTAGTACTGCTACTACGCCTTCGTCACGCAGTAGCCTTTAAATCTACACATGGCTGCGCGAAGCGCGCCCCACGACCCACTGCAAAATAGCCGGCGCGCACGGTTTATGCTTGCGGAGCGCGTTAAACACTGTGAACTGCCTACAAAACAACTTGCCTGCCCCTGCTTACATTTCTTGCTATGTAGCAAAAGATTCTTTTTGTTGGAGTAGTTGATAGCAGTGTAAATAATGGTTTTTTGCATAGATGAGAGACTGTGAAGAAAGTATTGATGTTTCTCGATCCATGCCACAATTCGTGCGTGACGTATATCAAAGAATTTCTTGATGATGCTGGAGTAATGTGATTAGAGAACAACTAATGCTTGTTTGTAGTCAAAGCTTTTGCTTCTTTAAATGGGTAGGCAGAAATATTTTGAAGTATTTTACTGGTCCATTCTATAGAATAATAGACAGTAACACAGATGTCTTTTATTCTGCCATGGTTCATACTTAAATACTGTATTAAGGTGCGAATGTGCATCTCAAACAAATATCGTGCATCCACCACAATTGTTAGCCTATGAACTATCAACGTGGGTGCCTTTCGATCGTGCTAACATCTTAACTCTAGCAAATTCAAAGCGCTCATCCGAAGTTGACATGTTGAAATGATCGGAAGACAGCCACGTTGGTTGTTCATACGGGAACAATTCTGGGGGTAGTCTTGCACATCTGACTTTCAAAGAATCGCTGTTCAACATTGATGCTTGTCTTGCAATGTGTAGGGATGAATTTGTGGTGGAGTTATCGTCTAACAGAATGCGTAGGTTTTTTCACAGCATTTGTTCAAGATATAGCAGTGCATGCATTTTTACAATTGGATGTTGCTATCGAAGGTGCTTACGAACAACTGATCGAATAATATTCAGAAATCGCTCCTGGATATATCCCGCGTACCTGTTCATAACATCCAGGTTGTAAGCATGCAATGCTATGCTCTGTATCATGTAGTTTTGTTTGATAACTCCCTAACATGACCAACCACTCAGGCCTATTCTTACTTCTTAGGAGACGCAAATAGCTGTTGAATATCTATATACTCATGAAAAACAGGCACGAATCCAAAATCTCCCGAAACAGACTCGAACTCAGGTCAATCCTTCTATATAAAGCTGAATGTGTGTCTGTATGTCTGTATGTCTATATGTCTGCACGTATGTGGGAAATAGAAATTTTTATTTCTGAACCGATCTGGACCAAACTTGGCACACATATACTTCGGGGCAGGGAGCGTGTCATAGGCTACTTTTCGTCGATCGATACCGATTTTATTGATTTTTATCGATTTTTTTGCAGAGTTCAACTACGGGGCTGGGAGTTGGCATAGGGAGGTAGATGGGCATGGCAATTCCGAATACTATAATAGTTCTCAGAATTACCGATTACTTCTATAGATTTTATCGATTCTTTGCAAAGTTTGAGCTACGGGCTGGGAGTTGGCAAAGGGGGGGGGGGGTAAGAAGGCACGATGATTTCGAAAACAACACAGGGAACGGGAAATGAAGTGTAGAAGGGGCCAGGGAAAGGCTTTGCAGGGATAGGGATGGGAACTTTTTACACGTTCTGACAGGGCCGAGTGGAGCCGTTTAAGCAAGCTAGTAGAACTTTTGAAAATGTTGCAATGCAAGTAAACATCAGTCGTATTCAAAAGCTTCGTGAAATTAAACAAAAGGAGACAATTCCTCTTTTGTTTTCGTTGGAAGCCAACATCTGCACCAAATGGAGCAATAAGATAAAAGTTCTAAGTCTGTACAAATTCAACGAGGGAAGCTAGGTTCACACTGCAACACAGTTTGCTATATGATGAAGGGTAGACTTCAATGATACTGCTTTCTAATTTTCAAATAGATGAACTTTGTTAACTACATAAGGCGATGAACCGTTCTTTCACACTCCAAGAAGAAGGAAATTTTAAAGGACTTATGCTATTGTAAGCTTCCAACTATGTTAAGAAGTTATTTACGTGGAGTTTACCTCACCTAGTCTGGGACACTGGTATGTGGAAGAAACCAAAAAAATGGACAGCGATCATATTACGTTTGTCAAAAGCGTTCGAAGTCCACGTTATCTGGCGCGCCCCAATAGCGAAGATCCTGCGCGAAGGAGAAATTCGCATTGAGGCATGGGGCGCGCTTTGCGCAGCCATGTGTAGACTAGTGAACCAGTAACCTAAAGGTGCTATTTGGAAGAGCGTGCGCTTCGGGACCCACCCTCGGTTTCCCGCTATTTGCAAATTTTTAAATCGATTTGACGATTCTTTATGTATTAGATAGATTAGATTTAAGTACGTGTTGCGCATCACCATTGTAAATCTTGCACCTCATGCACTCTGCGGCTAATTAAGCCGCGTTCGCGCCCAAAGATATTGCGCTTTCGTCATGCAGCAGCCTATACTGGGTGGAGGACTATATGTCGCCGGAAAAGGGCGGTCCCCTCGGTCATTTGCGACAAATACGCACCCTTGAACATGCGCGGACATGCGTTCCTGCAGGGAATCCGCGCAGGACTCTTCCAAATTCGGCGACATATAGTCCTCCACCCGCCTATACTTCCGCATGCATTCACTTAAGATGAAGGAGTTATGTAAAGGAAAATCCCCGTGAGAATAAACAAGAAGCGATTGATATGAAGCATGAGTCGCTTAGCCGCAGGTCTGACTACTAGGCGCTTGTGCGCTCGACTGCCATTTTCGCTGCCTGCGCCGCGCGCGAAGCCTCATCCCGTGGGTTCCCACGACCGATGGTGGGTGATACAGCCTATACATATAGGGCTCTGCGTGATCGCGAGAGTTAGTGAGCCATTGCACACGTAGGATGCTACAAGACACCCAACCACTTCAACAATTCCGCACTTTTCAAAATCGTTTTAGGTGATTGGAAGCTAACATCTAATAGCAGAAAAGCGTTTGAAAAAAGAACGTTACTGAGAAAGGGGTAGGGGACAAGCCGATAGGCTTCACCCCGCGAGGACAGCTGGTACAAATTCGTTATGTCGCAGAGTCGGGTGGGGAGCTGCGTGACCTATCGCAGATGTCCGCGCAAACCACCCCTTTTCGGCGACATTCTCAGACAGTCGAGGGGTTAACTCCGGAGCGAAAATGGGAGGGTCCCGGGCTCTGCCCAGCGGGGGGTAGGGGAACGAAAGCCGCCAGCTTCGGTCGCCTGCGCGGACTCCTGGTCCTGGAACGACATGCAACAACGTTGCGAAAGGACCAATTAGCCGCGAAAGGCGGCTCAAACTGGCGGCTTTCGTTCCCCTACCCCCCAGCGGGGGTTTGCCACTCGTGCTCCGGAGCCCTGCCATTTCACCCATTTTGGTGCTCCGGGGCTCCTCCAAATCTGGCGCACCCCCGGAGCAGAGATTTGCGAGCCCCGGGGAGGGATCCCATTCGTCACCGTGACGTCACAAGAAGGCGAATGGGACCCCTCCCCGGGGCTCGCAAATCTCTGCTCCGGGGGTGCGCCAGATTTGGAGGAGCCCCGGAGCACCAAAATGGGTGAAATGGCAGGGCTCCGGAGCACGAAGTAGCAGACCCCCGCCATTTCCCCTCCGGAGGTACCCCTTCGACTGTCTGAGTTAGTCCTCCACACCTGAGAAAGCTCAATGCGCATGCAATGGCCGCAAATTCACCGACACTTGCGACCACACAGAGACTTATACAAGCTGGATTGGGTCCAATGATGTTGCGTAGCATTCTCGAGCACCTGGATGTAAAAGTTCCCTCTTCATGCGCACTCTTTGCGAACGACCTCTACCAAGCGCACATTCCGACGACATCAGCCGAATGAACACCACGGTGGCGTCAGCGTGTGGAGCAAAGAGCGAGGTCGCCTGCCGCGGCCGACGTCGCGAGTGACGCGATCAAGGCCGCGCTCTCGCCGCGCCGCGCTGCCTCCCATGGTCGCGCGCAGCGGCGCCGCCGTTGTCTCGACCGCCCATTGCCTCCGCAGCTCTCACTTGTCGCCGTCTTCGCTTTTTCCACGAATCGTTGCGAATCATCTACGGAGTAGATCACTTGGTCTTTGCATGAGTCTTTGGCACGTACCTTGCGTCAACTGCCATGCTGACCTTCCTTTGCACTTTCCCAAACCGCTTTGGTTTCTGCGCGCTACGTCACGTGGATTCCAATTTATCAATTGCCAATCTCCTGTCGGCGCCTCTATAGTATCCATCCCTATTTCCTTTTGTAGATATCGTCCCTAGGGCTTACTCAAGTGCCTCTCGAGAAATGAGCAGTGGACTGGACAAGCTATACTTCCTTTAGAATTATCTTTCAAGGTCATCGCCTGCGTCTATCCTGTTGATAGCGCATCATCTCTCATCGATTGTCGCACCAGAAACAAATTTAGTTTACAGACATCGTATGATTTAGCCTGATATTTAGTTTTTAGGCAGGAAACTGAGCGGAATACGGAGATTTGTGGGTGTGGTGCCCATAGCGCGGGACACATCATTTTGTAGTTTATTTTGCCGTTTCATCCTGCCATCCGTTTAGAATGGACCCTTCCGATACTCGAAAAAGGTATGTTTGTATGTTTTGATTTATTACAACGCTCTGTGCTTGTGTTTTGCCACGAGAAAGTCTTCTCTCAATATTGATTGCGTTAGGTTTCTATCTGTCGCGTTGTGTTGTACTTTGCCCACTGCGTTTGAGTTTTTTGCTTCACTTTTCTCAGGCCCAATATATCACCAGTCTTTATGGTTCAAAAAAGCGTAATCTCGTATTTTTTGCTCCTTTTCGCTCTCCACGTATCACCCTGTCTCGTTCTCGCTTTCCAATCTACTATCGTTTTTATGGGGGTCCTTGGTTTACTATAGTCAAAGGGCATCTGCTGAAAGCCGTTCTGGGGAACCTAAGAATCTCAACCAAAAATATTCGTAATTATCCCATAGTTATCATCTCAAGACAGCTCATGCTCATGTTATCGACCTCCGTGGTTGTCTCGTAATCTGAGCTCATTAGCATACAACTCTATTATCTGAACTGGTATTCTACTGGTGATTTATAGTGTTGTTTTGCCCCAGTATTGCCATTGTCCATCACCCAGTCAATAAAGAGCGCATTCTGCATTCCCTTACTTAATGGAAAAAGTGTGGGTGCTTTTTTGAATCGATTCGGCACACGTTGTAAACTTCGCAAATAGTCTGGTCAACTTTCGTGACCTAGCATGATGTACTATCAGGTTATGGAATGTCTTTCTCCAGCTGTGAATAAGTATTTTGAGTTTGATCGGTTATTAGACGCAGCAGATTATTTTTTACTGTCGTTGACATATTGAACTTATATCAATATTTGCCTCCGGTTTCCCCTTCGTTTCTTTCCGATGTCTTTCAGTTTTATTCCTTGTGGATGTACCAAATAGCACTTTGAGATGTTGATTTTGGCGAATACCAACTTTTTAGTAACATCTAGCAGTGAAAACAAGAGTCATCGAGTATGTGGGTTTTTCACACTTGTAGTCTGTGCAAGTCCTCATATTTCTATAGATACTAGGTTCCTTTTGATATTTATTTTATGCCAGTATGCATCATTTCTTATCTGTTCTACCCAAAGTGCATGAAATATACCTAGTCGTTAACTATCAATGCCGCATAAACATCATACACCTATAGATTTCTCGATGAGATTGTATCTCAAAGCGCACAGTTGTTGGCTGCTGACTCTATACAAAAACCTTCTCTTGTTTCTCTTTTCTTTATATGTCGGAACGAGTTCTATCGCTCTACCTGCCTTTCAATCCCCTACTGTATTTAGTGGTCTATTGACTGAATGCTTTCCTTTTTGCAATGCTGTCATGTTGAATAACCTTGGTAATTTCACATGAGCAAAATACTCATAGCTGGTTGACCCTCGTACTAAGAGAAAAAGCGCGATACCCCGAATGTATGTGATCACTTTGAAGTGTCGGGCGTCAACGTTCTTATTTTTATATGAAATACTTCTGCCTTGGTTAACAAACAAATTTACTTAGGAATTCAGAATATAGGAGGAGTTATGCTTCTAAATGCCCTGCAATTGGTCTCTATGGCAGGTTATAGTCGCGCGGTCATGTTCTATTCCTCCATGTGAAATCTGCCCGATGTAGAAACTGTAGTGGCTCCAAAAGAATCTATATATAGAGAATTGATGAGAAAGTGTGCATCAGCACACATTTGTGCCATTCCCTTTCAGCATAAGCAAATGGCTATCACCTTGCTTTAACGCTTGACCGGCTAACAGGTGAAATGTGGATTGTGGAAATTGGCTAATGAGGAGAAGAGCATTTGCAGCGACAGTAATACTCTGAGTTTGGAGGTAATGAAGACTGGATGCGACTTCTGTGTTCTGTGGCCATTGTGGATGTGGGCCATCATACATATAGAAGAGAGTATCCTCATTGCAGCTGGGTATTAGCTTCAGCGACTCGAACATTACAAACAAAAGTTTGGTGTCTTCCCTTCGCGTCTAGAAGGACAGGTGTTGTGGATTCCGATGGTAGTAAGAAGAGCACTCTTCCATGCTTTTACAGAGCAGTGTATCAGAAAATGGACCCTTCTCGGATTCTGGTGGGTTGAGGTAGTAGACTTTTCTCCAAGTACACTGTAGCTGAAAAACCACTTACCAGTTTATGCGCTAAGTCCTGACACGCCCATTCAATGGAAGTGGGGGGGGGGACTGGTAGAGTTTTGAAGTTCCTCTACAGGGCATAGCGCCTGAGCTGGGGGTGGGGTAGGGGCTACACTGTACTTGGAGGGTCTACTACCCAAATTTTACCAAGTTCAGAGAAGAGTCCATTCTGCAGATCCACCGCCCTCAAGGGACACATCCGGCAATGTCAATGTACTCGAAGTATAGATTGGTTTAGGAAGTTTCTAACCTACTTTGATCTTCACCTCAAATCATGTCTGCCGTCGACGTAAAAGCACTGTCCACCCACTTGAGAGTAGTGTTGTCTTAATGTTATAGATACGGGACTGGTTAAGTAAATGGCCATATCCCGCTGCAAAAGATGAATTTCGAAGGGGGGAGATCTTTCTAGAATGTGCTTGACATATATGTCCTCCCGCCATTGTTGGGGCTTGAAGGTAATGTCCACCCTAAATCGGGATTTTATTAGGTTCTCCCAAAAGTAAACTCCATTGTCAAAAAGATTGAGCTGCTTTTGTTTTCCTAATAGACTTAGGGTACCATTCGATAGAGCGAAGCAAACCCTACAAAAAGACCACCAAAGATTTATCTAAGTCATAATATGAGTAAAATTTGGAGCCAAAAATCAAATTTTCCAGCTACCCCAATGCATCCTCCCCAAAAAGTCCCTACGGACTTGGTCTTTATACAGTAGACACATAGTAGTACCCGAAAATGTATTTGGTGGGTTTTTTCAGTTTTCAAAATTGAGAAACAAAGATGGTCCGAAAACGCCAAAATGCCACTTGTCGGGTTTTTCATTTAAAATTTGGTATTTCTCGATTATAAGAGCACATGCAAGGATAAAGTCTTCAGATTATTTTTAGTGAGGCTTGTAGTCTACAATGACATATGTGGGAGGAATGTGCCCACTGTATAATGACAAAATTGGAGGTCAGCACAATTTTTTCTTGCAGAAATCCAACTTTCAAGTGTTGAATTTTTTTGATTTTGGTTTCAAACTCTGAATGGAATACAACTTACAGTCTGCCCCAATCCTAACCAGGCCAAAATCGGAATGGCGGGAGTCCTCGCCGCGAGGTTTTCGCGCCACGTCTGCGGCTAGCTAGTCTGCTCTCTCCTCGATCTCTTCACTCTCTACGACAGCGCGCGTATGCAGCGCAATCCCCTAGCGCTGCGAGCGCGCAAATTCCGCCGACGGTTCGGCCTAATCCCGACTGGGGCAGACTGTAGGCGGATCCTTGGTGGTCTTTTTGTAGAGCATGATCTGCTCTCTTGAATAAAGTGCGGTTCATAATTATACGAACACCCAAAATTTTGTAAGTTTTCGGACTTTTTGGGAAAAACTCAAAAAGCCGTTGGTACCACGCGGAACACAGCCGAAAACGGTATATGATTCATAAAAATGGAAATCGATATAAATTGTAGGAGTGTTTTTGCGCCTAATGCGAATTTTTAGCGGTTCATAATTATACGAACACCTCAAACAAAGGTCCATTTTTCATTCAAGATTGCAATCGTTTGAGTCTAGATTTTTTGAAGAGTTACAGTAACAAAGTCTGACATATCTGCTATATACTAAACCCAGTGCAGTTCAAAAAGGGGACCGTTACTTTTTTCAAAAGGCTCTAAATGCTTCTGGAGTGATTGCGCTCCAAAAACATCCGTTCTTCTGCGGTTTACGCCCTCTAGCTTCTACCAAAGCTATGAAATGAAATAAGTTCTTTCGATGGGTATTTTGTCTGACGCTTAGAAAATCTTTGCGTTTCCGTGCCGTTTTTCAACCAAGTTTCAACCTTACCACAAAGTTAGCACGATTTCGAGCCTCAAAACTCAGCTTCTGAAGCCGTACAATGAGTAAGCATATAGTATGTAGAAGTTTACAAGACTTTATATTTGCCTAGAAAAAATCAGCAGCGTTGAGCGTTTGTTTTGGTCACGCAGAAGTTATTTCACCAGAAATACTGTTTTTACTATTGCAATCTCACCTTTATTTGGTTTGTAGTTCCACAGCCGCAAGATCAGTTCTAGAAAAAACCCAAAAACTTTGGTACAGAAACATCATCATGTAAACAATGCAGCTGCTTCATATCAAATGTTTGCGCGAGAGAGAAGCTGAGTTTTGAGGCTCGAAATCGTGCTAACTCTGTGGTAAGATTAGAACTTGGTTGAAAAACGACACGAAAACGCAAAGATTTTCTAAGCGTCAAACAAGATTCCCATCGAAAAAGCTTATTTTATCTCATAGCTTTGGTAGAACCTAATTAGAGCGCGTAAACCGCAAAAGAACGAATGTTTTTTGGAGCGCAATCACTCCAGAAGCATTTAAAGCCTTCTGAAAAAAGTAACGCTCCTCTCTTTGAACTGCACTGGGTTCAGTGTGTAGCGGACACGTCAGACTTTGTTATAGGGGCCTGCAGGATCGCGAGAGTCGGACGCGCGTACGGCCTTTGCGCCGCGCACGCCTGATATCGCTGGGTCGTAGTCGATTAAGGCTAGATAGGTAAGTTTTTTTGTTTTTCTTTGCATTTCACGCCTTCTTTTCTTTTCAGACGGTGAGCACATGTTGGTGCGAAGGAGTTTAAGATCTGAATTAAGGTGAGGTGCAGGATTATGCTCAATACGGACTCAATATTGCAGACCTTCCATGCCTGCTGGTTGAGATGTTGGATTTTCTGTCCTGGCTGCCCTGTTACAGCAAACTGTTCTATTTCTACCGTCTATTCTACCTTATCTTGCATACTGCTTGTGATGATGATGATGATGATGACAATGATTATGATTGTGATGACGCGCATGATGCAAGATGAGGTAGAACAGACGTTGCATATAAAACGGAGTTTCGTAACCGGGCAGGCAGGACGAAAAATCGAACATAATTGGACAGCCAGAAC